GCTAAGCCATAAACGGGTTATTTGGATATCATTGAAATTGAGATTAGTAAGTAGAATTGCGGCCCGAAATATATAACGATAATAACTTATCTCAATAATACCCGATAGAGAGCTTTCACGAAGAAGATATCGGCATATGCCAAAATTATGCGTGAAAATGATGTCAATTATAGGTGCGGACTATTAGACAATAATGATAAATTGTCTAGCTTGCAAAGAGCGAGTATCTTGAGAATAATGAGCACAATCATGCGTATAATTATCCCAGTAGCACATACGTACGTACGTACGTACATCTCTTGTAGGGTACATAAGGTGTACCAGTTTCATATTAATGAATAGCCGATGAAGCGAGATGGTTTGTGCTTATTTTCCTTGGTGAAACAATAATCAAACACTTTTATTACAATGACTTTTGAATCAAAGACATATTATAAATCTATATATATATATATATATTATAAGTGAAAGTTTACGTTAAAGCATTCGACGCTTAGTTCTAAACCAGGCAAAGATTTTCTTACGATTGAATTATTGTCACATCTGTTTCAAAGAACTAAGAATAATTTTTAAGGAAAGTTACTAATAAATACGTACGTACGTACGTACGCAAAATACCGATACTATTGACCGGATTATATATAGTTCAAAATTAACCTCTCCTCTACAATTGGTCAATTTCAATTACGTATCGGTATTCCATTCTGTTATCAAATATATCAGTTTTTCATAGGTCGCCCTAATGTGGAATGGCATAATGGCATGTCAGGCACGCGGTTTAGAAGTTTGAAAGAATTTCCATTTCTTGTCTTAGAATTTTCATATGAAGCAATTAACATGCATTACTTAATAATCAAAATGAAAGTTCCTATTGTGACTTCATAATGGGAGAAATTCGAAAGTGGCACACGCTAACACTTTTTCGGCTTTCCGTGTCATGCTAATGCGCCACAAACTTTGTATGTATATTTGTTGATCTTTCCCTGCCTTTAAAAACTTGTTCTACATTTTCGTTTCTTTGAACAAATCTTTCATCAACAATGAAAAAAAGTTCCGTTTCGACACCAAATTGGCTTGAACAAATTGCCGAACAAAGTCATATAGATTTTCATGATTATGATAAATTTTCGGAAATTGAACCTATTGTCTCAGGACCTTTTGGGGAAAGTTTTCGTGCAGTTTGGAAATCTCATGGAATGACCATTATGTTAAAAAGATGGAAAGGAAATCTTGGTACTGATGATAAATCTGTTATAGATAAATTTATCAGTGAGGTAATAATTTGTTT